ACAGAACAGAATGGACGCTTAAGGGCCGGTTTCCCCCTTATCGGCAAACTTTGCAACAGAACTCAGTTTCTGCACAACCTCTGCACTTCTCTAATAAGGCCCCTTATTTTGCCTCTCGAGCAGAACTATCAAACAATCCTGTCCAAACCACTGCCACCAAAATCAGGGTATTACAGACCACGGCTAATTGGAAGATCACTATAATGAAGGAAAAGATAAAATACTTTGGCTGTTGGCCTAAAATGTGGATCAGCACAACATAGGAAGCTATCTTGCTATGTCACATTCTGAGAGATTTACATAAACAATAAACTCCATCCAACAGCAGCCCCCCCCCCAATACATCTTTGTTTACAGTCAATGCAACCTAAAGCCATTCTGGGGGAGGCAGGAGAGGCTCTTTACATAAGGCAATATGATTAGGCCAGCAGTTTTGCAACCGTGCAGGAGAGCAGGAGCTGCGCATATTTCCTCTCTTGCAATCAGCAGGGAGAAAATGGTTTTTAATGTTCTCCATGCTTCCTATATCATAGATATTTAAATATTTGGACCACTCAATATGCTAAAACGCTGGCACTAGCGGCACAAATTGACTTCCGTGATTCTGTGAGGACTGCAGGTGCCTTTCCAGGGGAAGAGAAAATGGAGTGTGTGGAAAGGGGAGGTTAAAAGGCTGCTGGAAGCTGGTATCCAAGTGACTCGGTGGGAACTGGGAGGAGGAGAGCAGATGCAGGTGTCAGAGGTGGACAGAACTGGAGAGGGCCAATCTACCGGGCAGAGTCTCTTTGGTGGGGAATATGCTGTTCTACCCAAACCAAACATTGCAAGAGAGAGAGATATGGGGACACCAAGATCAGGCCCACCACATCTTCTGCTGTCACCTCAAGCACCGGACAATGTCTTTCAGGGCTGGCTTCCAGTTTTCCCTAGATGCCCTACAACCTGTCTTTCCAGAGTCTGGGGGCAGGTAAGAAAGAGTGGGGCTCCTATCAGGGAAAAATGGACTTTGCTCTTCTTCTCCCCTCTCTGTCTTTCTTTAATACTATAGGATCCTGTAAGGAGCCATGCCTTTCTTCTGTCTGACCCACAAAGCATGAAGAACAGAGTTCTAGTCAGGGACCTCATCACGTCTACTCACTGACTAATGTGTTCAGTGTGTATCTACTGAGCGCTTTGGATGCTGTAGAGGGTGCTTCTAGAGAACCAGACAGTCTTATATGAGAAGACTAAGACTAACTCTGAGGCTGTGCTACAGGGGATAAACTGTCACACAGCAATGGAGAGCTGAGACACGGAAGTGCAGCTAAGTGTTGATGACTCAGCCAAGGCAAGAAGTGTTTGGTCGCCAGTGCCTACACTCACCCCTTAACTAGCATATTCCCTAACTACATTCTAAATATTTAGTCTTATACCAGTAGTTCTCAAACTGTGGGTCATGACCCCTTTGGGGGGGGGGGGGTTGAATGACCTTTTCACAAAGGTCACTATCAGAAAACAGATATTTACATTATGATTCATAGCAGTAGCAAAATTACAGTTATGAAGCATCAACAAAAATAATGTTATAGTTGGGAGTCACCACAAGATGAAAAGCTGTATTAAAGGGTCACAGCATTAGGAGGGTTCAGAACAACTGCCTTGTAGCTACAGTTAAGTGTAGGCCCCACCCCTCTTCAAGGAAACTTTCCTTTGTTCAGATGGAGACCGGTTCAAAAAAAAAAACCCATAACTAATCAAAATGCAGATTTGTGGATTCCAGTCCTAATGGATACAACAACACCACAGCTCCAGCACCTAAGGTTCAGAGAACATTCGAAAGAGGGGGAAGAAAGATTGTGAGATGCAGAAGTTACATCCAAAAGTCAAAACACCATGGCTGCCCAAACATGGGCCAAACAAGGACAACATTGACAAAAGAGAAAGAAAGAGCTGGGTGGTGGTGGTGCATGCCTTTAATCCCAGCACTCTGGAGGCAGAGGCAGGCAGAGTTTGAGGCTAGCCTGGCCTACAGATGGAGTTCCAAGACAGCCAGGGCTACACAGATAAACCCTGTTTCAAAAAACCGAAAGAGACAGAGGCAAGAGGAGAGGAAGAGAATTGCTTTGGGAATTCAAAGAAGAGCTAGACTTACACGGCTAAAGTTGTGGGAATGCAGCTTGTCTTAGATTTAGTTGTTCTCTTAGTCACCAAGCATGTATTGCATTCCTACTCTGATCCTAATGTTCTAGAAAATGGGCTTGCACAGAATCGGGGAGCAAGGCACCTGCTGTCAACGTGTGACCTACACATAACTGAATAACCTCTATGCATTAGATGCTCACATGCCCAGCTCTCAAGCTCTCCTGGCTTGAGCCATCATGAATGCCCATTAGGGGCAGCTCTCAGGGTAGGTGCTTGTGTTAGACCAGGAGCAGGTTTCCTGGTAATGGGCCTGGCTGACTGTCAGCTTAGCTAAAATGTCAAAGAACAGCACAGTGGCTGAGGGAAATGAGGCCTAGCAATAATATTTAGAGACACGCAAGTTTGTTGCAGGTTTATGTGCCACTGAGATTCAGCAGAGAAAGAAAACAATGACAACACAAAGAAGACGCTTTCCAGAAGACGGTTCTGGATTAGCTGATTTCCTAAGAAAGAGTGAAACACTAACTGAGAGTAACGAGTAAGGCTGAAGATTTGGGGAGGACAGAGAGCAAAGGGAGATACTGGCCTGGAATCAAAGAAGGGAGCAACAGCCTAGGAGGCCTTCCAAATAGTTCTCAGAGGCTGTTGGAGACTCAGTGAGAAAGTGAAAGTGACCCAGGACCACATAAAAAGGAACTGCATTTGTCCAGACGGAACCATGTTGGGAGGAGAGCCTGAGGCCTCAGAGTAGGTGGGCTTCAGGAGCGTGCAGATCAGCTTATGTAGGAGCTGGAGTAAACCTTGGGTTGCTGCTGCGAGGCATCAACACTCAAGGCCTCACTAGGCCCTGGGCCAATGTGCTTCCATCGGGCTTAGTGAGCCAACAGGCTGTCTTGGGTAGCAGGAGGAGGAAAGCCTAGGGGCAGAGAAGGCATCCAGGGCATAGAAATATCCAGCTGGCAAGCACTAACCACAAGGCAAAAAGCCATTCAGGACTTCTCACTGCTGATGGGAACAGTGGTCTGTCGTCACTGTGAGCAAATTATTCCTCTCCATTTTTATGTAAGTGCATGGCATATGGGCATCTTCTTTGTCTTCCGAGGGGATGTCTCCCTCTCGGTTCAGCTTGACTATCTGAGGTCCAGAACCTGGCTGTCCGTGTTTTGAGTGACTATGGATGCTCCTTTAGGGGAGGCACCTGGGTTGCATGTCTGTAAGAATGAAGCTTCCAGACCCTCTGTCATTCTTTTATGTGTTTTCCTTCCTGTGAGCCTAACCTCTGGAAAGAGCAAGTCTGATCCATGGCAGAGCAACTTACTGAGAGTCAGATGAAAGTCTGCAGTTGCTATGTAGTGCAATGCTGATTGCTGAGTGTCCTTAACTCATCCGTGGTTCCTGCATTGGATATGTATACAGTTACATTATACTGAGCGCCAGATACACTGACACTACTTCTACTTTGCTATCACCATGATAAAACAACATGATCAAGGCAATTTATAAAATAAATCACAGTGGGGTGTGGTGGTGGGCTGGCCTTGGAGGGTTAGAGCAGAGGCAGGTGGATCTCTGTGAGTTCAGGGCATGCCTGGTCTACAAAGCGAGTCCAGAACAGCCAAGGATACACAGAGAAATCCTGTCTCAAAAAAACCAACCAACCAACCAAACAAACAAACAAACAAAAAATAAACCATCAACACTATGGTTCCATCAGGTAAGAGTTCATGATGATAGAGCAATGGCATGGTGGAAAGAACAGCAGAGAGCTTGCACCTCAAACCACAAGCAGGAAGCATAGCTAACTCACAATGTCCTAGTCTTCTGAAACCTCAAAGCCTGCCCTGAATGACACACCTCCTCCAACTAAGCCACACCACCTAACGTTTTCCAAACAGTTCCACCAGCTGAGGACCAAGTAACCAAACATATGTAGCTCTCGGGATCATTCTCATTCAAACCAGCCTCTTCGGTTACAAGCATTAATAACAATAATACTCTCTTTCTCCCAAAGGCTCTCATTGTTTGAGGGGCAGAGCACGCAGGAAGACTCTCATCCCCAGTATGCTAAAGGTCCTAGCACTAATGCAGAAAGAGCTTATAAGACAGGGATGAGATCTCCCAGGATTTCCAGTAGAAGCTTCTCGGAGCAGGTAATGATGGAGCCAGGCTCAGACAATACATAGATAATCCTGACGAACGAAGGTAACAAGGATAGAGTATGTTCTATAAAGAGTGTGAGGAGGAAGAGTTGAAACAGACATTCAGAGAGGAAATAACAGCAAGACCCAGAAACAGAGGGCAGGATAGAAAACTATGCATCAGATAAAGGTGGGTGTATCCAATGTTCACAAGTATATATATATATATTGATATATATCAATGTAGTACATATATGACAATATATATTACATAATGGCATTAAGCATAAACATGCATGAAGCAGGGCTGTGACTTGATAATCACCAGAGGCTTGCAGATTAACCCTGTGCCTCCAAGTTATAGTTAGGTAAGAATGACGCCTGCAGCATCCCGTGTTTAAAGATTTGGTGGGGAGTTGGTGGTGGTGTCCCGGGAGGTTATGGAATCGTGAAGTTGAGCCTGGTTGTAGAGGTGCCCCTGGGGGCTGGCCTTGGAGGGTTAGAGCCTAGCTGTGTTTCTGATCATTTGTCTGCTTCCTGTTGCCAGGCCTTCTCTGTGGTGACAAATTGAAAGCTCTCTGAAGCCATGAGCTAAAACAAATCGTTCCTCCCTGAACTTGTTTGTGTCAGCAATAGCTGTTCTTACATACGAAGAATCAAGGTATGTGGGGCCTTTGAACACACACAGATGGTTTTGTTGTTGTTGTTAAATGTTTTTTTTTTTT